CTCCAGATGTTCACGTAACCGAAGGAAAGTAGAAAATCCTTCAGAACATGAAGTCTCGCGACAGAATATGGACTTTTCCTCCACCAGGACATGTTTGTTAGTAAGATTTCCTTTTGAGGAGAAGTTCTTATTGCAATAACAACGAGTATTTTCTAATATATCCAACGCAAAATTTTCCATAACAATTTCTTAGCAACGAAGCAGGAATATTTTAAATCCAATTATCCTTGATAAAGTATGGTTTTAAAGCTAAAATATTGACAAATTATTCCAAGCACATCGTACACTACGAGATATAAGCTATCTGAACGTCATGACACTAGCAACATTTCGTGGTAAAAACCAAAACTACGGCTACGGAATCGTTCTGTAATTAGACGCCAATTTTAAAACTAGGTCAAAGATTTCCCACAGGAAAAAATTCACTGCACTGTGCCGGCACATCATTGTTGTCTGTAAATTGACCTTTAACCATCGTCTTCTCTCTACTCGACACCCTCTACCAGCCTCTTTCGTCTCCTTTCGTTAGCAAATAGCACCCTATGGAATTCAGCTCTCCACAGCTCAGCCATCCTGTAGTTTACTCTGTCCTCCAAGAGATTACTGGAATACTAAACACACTTGTACAAAAAAAAAAAAACAAAAACAAAAAGAGAAACATTATTTAGAATGTTCTGAAAAAATTTTCAATATAAGTCAATGTCAATGGGCCATGACTTCATATAATCAGTGCAGTAACAGTCACATTGAGCTCTTCATAATGACCAATTTTCTTAGCCGCATATCTGTCCTTAGGCATCGTCAAAATAAACTTGTAAAGTTCAAAAGGCTTAGATCTTAGTTTAAGTTCTGTTCCATACTGAGTTCTCTGAATTACAACAAAATTGTTGAGCTGATATTTAAAAACTGGTTTTCTTTTTTTATTCCAGAAGTTACTATTTTCGTTATTGATATCACCTTCAACACTACTCTAGCAAAGTTTTGTGTTGCTTAAATAACAACGTGATCTACGATTAAAAAACGACAGAAAAACCGTCATAATATACAACATCGCATAGAACCTCTCCAAATTCCTTTATCTTCATCATGTAGTTCTTGTAATTCACACTCGATATTATTAAGATCCGTCATCTTTCTTCAAAATTTTTGAAGACCCCTGTAATAATAACAAACAAACAGGCGTCTCAATCGTATAGGTCAGCGCTGTCCAACTGGCGGCCCGCGGGCCATATACGGCCCGCCAAATAATTTTTACGGCCCGCGAGTACATTTTAAATTTATGTTACTAAATTATTATTATTAATACTGTATTAAAATTATTTTACTACCGTGTTTACCCGAAAATAAGACAGTGTCTTATATTAATTTTTGCTCTGAAAAATGCGCTAGGTCTTATTTTTTCCAGGAAGAAGAATTCACATTTATTATTGAACAAAAAAATTCCCAAGTCGAACTTAGACGAGAGTGACGTATATCCGGTGTGTCGAACTGTCGCCTTTTTATAGCGTCAACATCGAACTCGCTGACCAATTAGTGCTTACAGACCATAGCACTATTCCCGGCCGACCAATTAGCCATCACCAACCTTCTTGGCCCCCGAAATGTTTGGTGAAGAAAATATGGCCCGCGGGCTATGATAAGTTGGACAGCGCTGGTATAGGTGATGAACGATCATCTCTTTCGTTATCCACCTTAGATGCAAATATCGTGATCATCGTCATCATCCTGTTTCAATTGTCAAAATTGTGTTAGTCCTAACATATCCAATCATCAGTCTATTACCGACTTTCTGGTTACAATAGCATTTAGTTAATGAGTAATTGTCATTTTTATTAAATCGATAGCTATTGCTGTGCCTGTTGATATAATATTTATAGTTAAAATATACATCAGCAATATACTATACGTATAATAATTGAACCATTAAATCGTGATTTCCTTTTACCTACTTTTTGACTATTTCGTAATGTTAAAAAAACTTATATTTCATATAATTTCAGCGTTACTAGTATAAAATTTTAAGTTAAATTTTACAAATAATTCAAAGTTTTTACTCAATGTTAGCTATCGCTTGCGTGTATTGTCCGTGCAGTAATCGTTCAGTGACAATACTTAACTAAAAATACTCGAAAAGCATATTAACTGCAATATAACTGCATTGATTAGTAGCTAAAGCAGCAGCAGTAGTAGTAGTAGTAGTAAGAAAAAATATACTTTTTCGAACAACCTATGTCATAAATAAAAAAGTTGCGGCAGGGAAGAAGTAATCAGTATATAAAGAATTGGAATCCGTAAGCATCTTGACACAATGTTTAATGAAGAAATGCTCATTAAAAAAACAATTACAATAACAAGAATGTTTCAGACGAATACAAGTCGGTAGTTCTATGCATAATGTAATAACGTAAAATACAGTATGAAGATTAATATTTTTACAAGAAATTACATGTTCAGTGCTGCCTGACATATCGCAGACAGTACAAACATCATAACAGATGACAAACATATGTACATTATGCAAATTAACGATAGTACAATAGTTACATGTGAAGTGCTATGTGACAACGACAGATAGCACAAACGTATATACAGTATGCAGTCTAATATTGGTTGTTACATGCCGCGTGCTGTTTGACAAATTGCAGCTAGTTCAAACATAAAAACAAATAACAAACGTATGTACAGTATGCTGATTGACTGTGCATAAACTAGATACAAAGTACGTACATGCTAGGTTCCAAATTACAAGTAGCCAAAAAAATTATCAGATTACAAAGGTACTTACAATTGACATTCCTAGCGTTACTCTAAAAGCATAGACAGTGATTTTTATTCACATGTGGTGTTATCATCGTAGTACAGTAGATTTCCATGATTACGAGGGTACTGCCACTGACTAAGTGCTTCTCGTTTCGTCTGTAAGCACTTTGACGCTCTGAAGATAATTAATCAGATGCTGTACAAGTCTTTCTCATATATTAGGGCTTGCAGAGGACACTGCCTCTTATGGTTGTTACGAAGTGCAGCCTCGATGAGTCTATCTCTGTTGCTCTTGAAGAGTGGACAGTAAAAGCATATGTCAAGGTAGTGTTGTTTGGTTTTCGTGTTGCACCTGTATGTCTCGCTGCCCGTGGCAAAACCCGGTAGAGGTAAGCATTGAAATTCTCATCACCAGTAAGATCTTAAGTCAGGACAAAGTTGGGAACATGATGCCTTCAATTCAGCCTGACAGAAATGTCTTGAATGAAGCCATGTGTGGGACAGCCTGTTATGCAGTAGTTCCAGTCTTGTTGTTAGGTTTGCAAAAGTTAGTTATAGAACCATTTATGGATAGTTGAAAGCGGTATCTCACTGCAAGAACAAAAAAAAAACAATACTGGATCTCTTTTTGCGAGAGTGTCAGGTGCTCTGTTTTTGTTTATTCCAGAGTGGCAACGGATCCAGTTAAAAATGATGTGGTGGTGGTGATGCTTATTACTGTTAAGCATTTACTGAATAATGGTAACATTGTAGCCATTATTATTGGTGTTGTTAGAAATTAAGCGAAGAGCTTTAAAACTGTCTGTATAGATGGTTGGTTTCTTTTCACAAGGGACCAGTCTCCATTGATGTGATAAAATCCCTCGGTAATGTCTTACATGGTCGCCTGTGCGACAGGACAGTATTCACCGAGCTTGAATGCAGACCGGTGAGTAATATCGCCTGTCTTTTTTGTACAGTACGTGATAAAAGCTCGCCACTTGATTCTCTTGCTCGGAACCGTTTGTGTAGATTATATAATCATAGTCATTTTCATATTGTTAAGTGAGGTCCTTGATGTTCATAGTAAAAGTCATATCTAAATAGGAGTTTCGAATTTTCTTAGATGTGCCTATCTTCAAAAAACCTACTCACGATGTTAAAGATTTTATAAGGGTGTGATATTCACGGGGTCGATACATGATTTTTGGCCACCATAAGTTATAAAACGCTCCTTGGAAATCAATTGAAATTAGAACAGTGTTTATTATCTTTCATGGCCTTCTGAATATAATCAATGATCGAGGACAAGGCTGTGGTAATTGACCTACCAGGAACAAAGCCATGTTTTGGTGGCTATTGATATAGTTTACCTTCATAAAATGGTTGGTGTTACAGTAGGTGAGAAGTCTGTCCAGTATTTTACCCATGATTGGCAGAATGTAAATAACTCTGTAGTGTCTTGGGCTAGTAAGTGGTTTTTCACTGTTTTTAATAATAAATTTAATTGAGGCACACTTCCATTCAAGAAAAAAATACCCAATCTGAGAGCACCGATTATATAGTACCATAGACAATGTTTAAAGTGCTACGAATTGCTTTTCGTCATTTTGACCGTTATTGCTTTTTTACCGAAAGTCTTTTTCATTTTTATATTTTTGTTAACTGTGGAAACTTTATTGTAGCTGAAAGGAAGATCGTCGCATGTGTTTGGGGCGTATCTAAAACGGTGTCGTTTTTCTTTGTGAAAAAATATAATCTCGTTAGTTTGGTTATCAATGGGAAAGTGGTGGTCAACAATGGATTTTATTCTGTAACTGAAGGAAATGGTTAGAGTACCATTTGATTTGTGGATTGTCAAGAAAATGTTCGTTTTACACTGATTTTCGAACACAACATAGTAGAAATCGGTTAAGGGTTTATCGAACCGCTCGCAGTGTTCCTTCCAGGCTATATGTCTGTTTTGGTTAATTAAGATATTATAGTTATAAAACTATGCTTTTAGTAACCACATGATCAGAATCGCACACAAGAAACTGATTTACTAAAGCAGAAATGCGCTTCTGATTTTCGTTTATTTAATTTCAGAATATTTCTTTCTCATTAGGAAATTTTTTTACGGTTTAATTTCTAAGATCAATGATACGAAAAATTCTAATAATGGTTGCAGAAAAACACGAAACATATATTATCATTACATACATGCAATGATTATATCAAATCTACGTTCTAATTTTTGTATCACAGCAATGTCGACTCACCTTGACAGGCATCTTCTTTGTATTCTAAACCTGTTTTGCATTTGCAAGTCGGCTTTTTATTGTCATTAATTATACATTCTGCTTTTAACTCCTCACAATGCACTTCCCAACTTTTGCTGTCTTCTTTTATAGATTGACAAGATTCTGCAATAGATTAAACATTTTAGTAATTTTATAAGCATTTCGTGCACAGTTATATTAATTAAATAAATAAAATGTTTACTGACTACTTGAATTACACATAAACTAACAATTTATATTCAATTCATAACACATACGTTACAATATATCAGTCTATCGTATGTTATGCGCTCAGTATAAAATTTTTACACATATTCTGTGGTTAAAAAATTTAGCAATGCGCTGAAAATGAAAATTTTTTTAATTAATAACAATAATGCAATTTGCAATAATAACAAAATTTGCAATAATAACAATTTGCAATAATAACAAAAATAAGCACAACTGTTGATTCATATATTTAATTATTCAATGCTGCTTTTCATGATAACATTTTTCATTAGCTAATCTGAAGAATTAGACTAGGTAGCCTGTCAAACGCACTTTTGGGGCATGTATATATTATGAAATATGTAACAGGTTTTTCAAAGAAATCAAAATGACTCGGAATTATAAAAGTAATTAAAAGTTCTTAAAATTTTTCATACTGTAGCATTTTCATGTTTCGAAATAGCGTGAGAGTTAGACTAGTCGATATTTTTCAGTAAAAATTTATCGTTTTTTGATACTTAAATTTCTTTAAATCCGAGCGAAAACAGCATTTTCAATTCAATTACTAAAAGATGAATGCATCTCTCTCTCTCTGGAGTCACTCCATTTTTCAGGACCTCAATCAGAACACATTACAAATATTCGCCTTTAGTCGATAATAGTAACGTAGCTTATATAAAACATCGAAAACAAAAAACTAGACTCTCCAGATAAAAAAATTAAGTCAAGAACGAGAAAGTCATCGAAAGTCCAAAAGTTCACTTACCCAGCTTTATTCCATGTAAATAATTTAACCGTGCTTTTTCGCTGATTTTTTCGACCGATTTTTTACAGATCCATACTTCGGTTCGTTCAACGTAAGCGCTATAAGCAACGAACATTTAATAGTGAACTGTGCTTATCAACTAACCTATTTCTCCATTTTGTCATATGTACGTTTTGTGATTTCAAGACTTCGATCAATCCGATCTAGGTACTTAGCATCACGCGTAATGATATAAGCTCTTTCATTTGGCTAGGAACCCGTAAACTTTAATACTCAATTACGTTACGCTATATAGCTTTATCGAATTTAAGACGCAATGTAAACGTTATTACGCAACGCGCAGTTATACTATGTATTCGTGTAGATAGTTTACATAAAAAAAAGGTATTTTTCTTTTATAATTAATTAAGCTGTAATGTGCACATTTTTTCGGTTGCATTGTCTCTCAGTCTGTCTCCATGCCGAACTCTAACTATATGCACATGAGATTGCTCGCGCAAAACCGAAACTGCAGTTAAGTAGTTTTTTGTGTCTGCCTTAAAATTCGCAATCGAGTCAGTCCTAGCATAGCCTTCGTCTGTCTGGTGCCGACTTTCTGGTTACAATAGCATTTGGTTAATGAGTGATTGGCATTGGCATTTTTATTAGGTCGATAGATATTGCTGTGCCTCTTGGTATAATATTTATAGTTAAAATATACATAAGCAATGTACTGTACGTATAATACATGAACCACAACATCGTTATTTCCTTTTACTTACTTTTTGATTATTTCGTAATGTTAAAACAACATATTACATATAATTTCATCGTTAGTAGTATAATATTTTAAGGTAAATTTTGCAAATAATTCGAAGTTTTTACTCGATGTTAGCTTTTGCTTGCATGTATTGTCCGTGCAGTCATCGTTCGGTAACAATACTTAACTAAAAATACTCGAAACGAATAAATTATTGTAATATTAACTGCTTTAATAAGTAGCTGCAGCAGCAGCAGTAGTAATAGCAGTAGTTGTAGTAGTAGTGGTAGTAGTTGTAATAGTTGTATAAGTAGTAGTATTAGTAGTAGTAAGAAAAAATGTACTTTCTTCTACAACTTGTGTCATTATAAAAAAAAGTTGCGGTGAAGAAAAAGTCGTGAAAATATAAACGTCGGCCTCTCTATTATATGAAGTACGATTTTTTGAGTGATTTGTTGATTCTTTTTGTTATTTAGTAAATTTGTCAAATATTCAATTAGTTAACTGGTGGTACAATTAACCAATTGTTTTTTTTTCTTATTTCAATTTAATAAAAATTATATTCATTGTGAACTGTTACTCATATGTGGTTGTTAAATTATTACAGTATTATTATTATTGTGTTTAATGGGTTTTACCCGGTTCACACCGATGGCTGTGTACTATGCCGGACCAAAGTCAAGGCATAGCAACCAAAATAAAACTAAAATTAAATAAGGGTGTCATTGTCAGTGTCTGTATTCAGGAATTTCCTAACAATATGGCATGTACTCAATATAGCCTTCTGTAGTGTTATGTATGTATTTCTATTCAATTGTAATGTTCCCAGGCTTTTGTGTAGTGTGTGTGGTATCACACCTGTACAGGAGAGAACGACAGGTACAATAAGCACCCTATCCATCCTCCACAGATGCCTTATTTCCTGGGCAAGTTCTGTGTACTTGCTAATTTTTTCAGTGCATGTGTTTTGTACATTGTGAGTGTTTGGAATGGCTATGTCTATAATGTATGTGATTTTATTGNCTTGCTAATTTTTTCAGGGCATGTGTTTTGTACATTGTGAGTGTTTGGAATGGCTATGTCTATAATGTATGTGATTTTATTGTGTTTGTCAATGAATGTGATGTCTGGTCTGTTGTGGTAAATTATTTTATCTGTAATTATAGCTCTGTCGTAGTACATTTTGTGTGTGTTGTTTTCCAATACTGTCTGTGGTATATATTTGTAGTATGGTTCCTGGATGTCTGCCAATTTGTGTTTCTTTGCAAGCTCTTGGTGTATTATATTTGCTACTTGATTATGTCTATGTAAGTAATCTGTCTGTGCCAAGAGCTTGCAACCAGAAGTGATGTGTTGTATAGTTTCTGGCATGATGTGACATTTTCTGCATTTGTGAGTGTTGTATCTTTGAGTATGTGTTTTCTGTTGTTTCTAGTATTTATGACCTAATCCTGTATGGCAATCATGAACCCTTCAGTCTTCCTAAAGAGGCATCCTCCCGAGCTAACCAGCTTGTTTGAGGCAGTTTTGTAAACAAAATCCTTGCCCAGGTCATAAGAATGCTTGACATAAAGTGCCTTTCGAGCCCACGATTGCTTGATTGTGCCTATGCTTTTTATATGCTGCGTCATGTCTGTATGATGTGAGTGTAAATTTAATGCTGTGTTATTTGAGTCTGCTAGAGTTACTGCTTTATGTAACTGTGATGTTTCTTGTTTCTTGTAGAAAAACTCTCGCAGTGACTGTATTTGTTTGTAGTGAAGGTTTATAATGTCAATCAGGCCAAGTCTGCCATCTTTAGAAGGGTTAATCTTTCTATGGCGGATTTAAGATGATGTTGTTTATGCTTAGTAAGTGTTGTTCTTGTTTTCCTTTGGAGTTGCTCGAGATCTCTGTGAGTCCAATGTATAACTCCAAAAGAGTATGTGAGTACTGGGATGACATATGTGTTTATTGCTTTAACTGTGTGTTTTGCATTTAGCTGTGTTTTGAGAATGGAATTTAACCTACTTTGGTATTCTTTAATTAATCTTTGCTTTATTTGTGTATGTTCTGTTAGTTTGGCCTGTTGGAATCCTAAATACTTGTAGAACTCGCCCTCTTCTATGGATTCAATAACGTCTCCATTTCCAAGAGCAAAATCTTCTTTCTTCAGGACTCCTTTTTTCCATGTGAAGTCTTTTGCATTTGTCTAAGCCAAACTCCATTTGTATGTCCTTGGTATATGAATGTGTGATTTGTAGCAGCTGCTGTAGTTGTTGTTGTGTGGATGCATAAGGTTTTATGTCATCTACGTACATGAGACGTGACAGCGTAAACTGTGTTGTTTTTTCATGTCTGATATTGTAGCCATATTGCGTGTTGTTTAACATGTTGGATAATGGGTTCAGGGCTAGGCAGAACCAGAGAGGACTCAAGGAATCTCCTTAAAAAATTCCTCGCATAGTAAATATTTCGTTTGTTTGTATGGAAGTGTTACTAACCCTGAGATGTAGTGTTGTTCTCCAGTGCTGCATACTGTTTTGAAAGAATGCAATGAGTGATGGATGTATTTTGTACATGTGTAGAATATGTAGCAGCCAACTGTGTGGAACACTGTCAAATGCTTTTCTGTAGTCTACATATGCCATGTGTTTGTTTCTGTGTTGTTTGTGTGCTTGCCGTAGAATGACTGAATCTATGAGTAACTGTTCTTTGCATTCCCTGCGATTTTCTACGGCAACCTTTTTGTTGTTCGGTAAGAATGTCGTGTTCTTCAACATGTTTGTATATTTTGTTTGTGGTAGAGGATGTCAATAATTTGTAGAGTGTTGGAAGACATGTAATTGGTCTATATTGTGTGGGGTCTGTAGTGTTGTTGTTTTTAGGTTTCATGTAGATGATGCCCTGTGTAAGAAAATTTGGCATGTCTTGTAGGTCGATGATGATGTGTGTTAGATGTTTAGCTAGTTTCTGGTGCAGTATTGTAAACTTTTTTACCAGAAATTGTGAATGTTTTCTACACTAGGTGTCTTCCAGTTGTGTGTTCTGTTAACAGCGTAGCGGATGCCGTGTACGTTCATTTCAGCACAAGTTTGGTATGTTATGCAAGTTTCTGTTCTCCTCCTCGATCCAGCCTACATCTACATTTAAGATTTCTTGAAAAATTGGGAGGATGACAGAACAACGGTCTTTGAATGGCATCCAAACCAGGTTGAGGTTTCACCGGCTTGGGAATCTCTACGACGACAATGCTGTTAATTGCTTCAAAAATTCCTGAAGAAGAGAGAAACGCAATCGACAACATTAGACAGATTCTTTAACACATCAAACAGAAAAATAGCATGACTAATAAAAATGAAAGACTGTGTATAATTGTATATTTATTATTACATATAAATAAACATAGTAAGAAAGTATATAATTTTT